GAAAGCCACTCTTTTGTTTAATTTACCACTGGTTCGGAAAAAACCTCCTAGAAAGAACTAGCAAGAAACCCAGGGGAACATTTTTTTTTGAAAAAAGAGAAACAGTTTACAACAATAAATGTAATGTATGTTTGAAAGGATCCGTCACCCTATTTCATCGCTTTGGTGTCAGAAATGACAAAGGGAAACACCAAAAGAATATATTGGCTTCCGGATAGATGACGGTATACCATCTCGTTTACGCTAGTCGTAAAAATATTGAGAGCGACGACTAGCAATATTGTCTATTGTGACGATTAAGGCAAATTCTATCTTCAATGGAAGAGGCTCATAACCAGATGTTGATTTCTAGAAGCTGATGATGAAGAAGAAGAAGTTGATTAATAGAATCAGATGTTACTTTGCGGAAGTCAAGAATCTCTTCAAAGTAGGTTAGACACATTATTTTATTTTATAACGCTGATGTTAGCTAAATAATTTTTAACAACTTTACATCTTCGATACAAAGTAAGGTTGAGAAATGAGCTCTACAGATCATGTAATGTTAATAGATTATTGAGATCTGTCTACATCCTCGATTAAGAATTAAAATATATTTTCATTTCCACCGTTGGTGTTAAAAGTTAAAGTTACAGCCTATAAACGTCACACTGTTGGGCACAGGCCTCCTTTCATTTCTGAGAGGGTTTTAGGGCAATGAGGGGTCCGCCGCGCTGCCCCAATGCGTGTTGGCGAACTTCGCATGTCTTTGAAATATTTTTTTCTTATTTCTCAGACATGCAGGTTTCCTCAGTATGTTTTCCTCCACCGACGAGCACGTGGTAAAACACCACTTAAAATCGCAATTAACAATGTAATTGGTGTCGGCAGGGATCGAACCCGTGTTGTTTGCATACTGTGAAATTTACAGCGAGCGCTTAGCTACTGAGCTACCAGGGCTCTTTTGGTGACTAAGGCTCCATTGATAACTAAGATGAAATGCATCATAAAATTCGAAAGAGCTTGCTTTCAGGTGCGTTGTTACTTCTATGCCTCACAGACTAAAAATTATACCGATACTCCAGACCGAATTTCGGCTACGGTGGCCTGCCTGAAAGGAGGCTAGCCATCAGCGCAGGACAGGATTAAAGTGCCCAAGCGTATGCGCAAGCACAAGTGCACTCTCTATTCCCTCACTCTCATAATCCGATGGGACGGTAAACCGACACGACCGGAGAGAGATCAGGCGCAGAACCAACGTCTTTACGTGCTTTCCGAGACACGGGGGTGAGACACCGCTAGCTTCCTGACTCCGGGCAGCTACTGAGAATTTCTTGACAGAAAAACTCAATAATTGATTTTTTGGCCTGACCCGGGATTCGAACCCAGGACCTCATTATCAGTAGTCGCACTACTACAACCACTAGACTAACGAGGCAGTCTAAAATTATACTTACTCTGTATATATTTCGATTGGAGCACAGCAATACAAGCACACTTACACCAGCGTTGTGATTACGGACAAATCTTCAAGTTGGTAATGCATGCCAGCTGAAAATCTTCAAGCTAATGTCCAACACTAGACCTAGAAAAGCAAATGTGGTAAAACAAATTGTGGATATGACGTATACCTTCGTCCGCGGCTCCATAACAGTGAGGGTGTCATCCTCAAGGAAATAAACGATGTTCACAATCCGCACCCTGTAATTCTCGTCGGGACTCTCGTAGACGGGCTGCTTGAAAAACGCGGTGAAGTTGAGGCAGCGCTTGTCGTAATGTACCCAGTGCGGTATGACAGCTGGTAGTGCCGTTTGCTTCACCCGACCATACGTCAATGAGGGATCGTAGCTGTTTCGGTATTTAATACAATATCCGCTGTTACTACTTAAAACTCAGTACAAGTTAATTGCTAAGTGAATTTTTACATAATATTTTAAATTTTCTATTGACATCTGCGACGAAGGCCAACTTTTACAAGTAAAGTGTTGCAAATAATTCTAATTACTTGCAATACCTAAAACTTTAAATTTTTTATAAAACTAAAACGACAAATAGACTTACAGTACACCTGATGGTAAGTATTCACGATACCATCCTCACCATTTGGATAATCGGCAGTCCATCACTGTGAGTTTTACTAGGAGTTTTTTTTTCCTAGTATAACTTTTCTGTGGAATTGTTTACCACCGGCAATTTATCCGGACCGATACCACTTAGGGAGCTTCAAGAAAAGAGTCTACTCCTTTTTAAAAGGCCGGCAACGCATCTGCAATTCCCCTGGTATTGCAGTGTTCATGGGCGGCGGTAATCACTTACCATCAGGTGAGTAGTATACTCGTTTGCTCCCTCTCCTATAAAAAAAAACCTTGAAGTTCTTCGAGCTACACTTGACTACAATATACAATACACAAATGACTAGCGCAATTTAATTTTCGGTAGCTTTTGAAATTTTCACCATTTCTATCGAAAGCAATAAGATCTTTATAGCATTTCCCATGGTCGTAGCCCACGCCATATGATATGAAATGGAATGATGCATCTTCTTACGCCGTCATCATACGACATCATACGTAACTTATTACTTGATCATTAAATAAAAATTTTGCTCTTTATATAATTAGTTTACTGTTCATAAGTATAAACTGGTGGACTTCACATTATCATCACCATTACAGCCCTTCACAAGTACACTGCTGATCATGAACCTCCTCGAAAGGATGCTACAAAACACGATGCTTGAGCTACTTGAAATTTTTTTATAGATTAAGGATAAAAAACGAGCGTAAGTGAGCAAAGTGAATGTGACTTCGTTTCTTACCAGTTAAATCCATACATATAGTAGGGACTGCATCATACTTCGCTTACCGGTACGACATACCACTTGAGAACCTTTCTGGGGTTTTCCGAGATATATAATAATAACAATGAGTCTTTATTCCGGATAACAAATGAGATCCATATCAAACAAGAAGTTAGAAAAATCACGAAATGTTGATAAACGTACAGTTTGGTGGACGATGGAGGTAAAAGACACACACACACACACACACACACACACACATACACACACACGCACGCGCGCGCACACACACACACACACACACACACACACACACACACACACACACATACACATACACACACACACACACACACACACACACACACACACACACACACACACACACACACACGCACGCACGCACACACACACACACACACACACACACACACACACACACACACACACACACACACACACACACACACGCACACTCACACACACACACTCACACACACACACACACACTCACACACACAGATAAGTAAGTCAAACAGGATCTTAAGAATTTGCCTTATTATATATAGGACAGTCATATTCTTGTGGTATTACCCCTAGAATATTGTTGGCGCTGTTCTTTGTTCAGTTTAGTAGAGACGCGACTTTTTTGCGCATTATCACATCAAACCCGTCGGTGCGGGCCTCGCGGAACATACCTGAAGCGCTGCAAAAGCGTGGCATCCCCAACAGAACTCTTAATGCATTATTATATTGCACCCTTAATGCTTTTCACGCCCTTTGTGTGTAGTTGACCAATAGGGAGCACGTATTGATACACTGGCAGTACGCCTTAAAAAGAGTTATTTTAACATCACTACGTCATCGTGCAAACCTACGAGCTAACATATTACTCCTGGTCGCTAAAGCTCTACGCTCCCTCTCCATGTCCATTTCATCACGCAAATCCTCAGTTACGTTCCAAATATTTGAAATGTGATACCCTCGATAGAGCAGTGTTTTAGAATCTAATAGATAGTATGTGCGTGGGACCCATATTATTACAACACAAACTCACTTTTCTTTATACAGGATGTTAGTGTAAACACTGTTATCCTTGAAATCAGTGGTTTGGTTTCACTTATAGAACGTAAATTCAATGAAAAAAAAACAACATTTGTTTTAGTAAAATCTCAATTTTTCCTTAATTCCTCAATTTTTACCTGTCCTAAGCCAGGATGAAAGTATGAAGGAAAAGTTACATCACAGGTTATGTGTACCTATTGTGTTTTATTGGAATGCTGTGTAGGTAGCTAGCGCGGGCGGTGATCTTTACAGTGATTACGTCACTCGGGCGCATAGGGTATCTATGAATTTACGGACGGTGTCGGACAGAAACTTTTAAAATTTTATGAAAGAAAATAGCGTTTTTTTAAATTCATTAAATTTACGTTCTATAAGTAAAACCAAACCACTGGTTTCAAGAATAACGGTGTTTACACTAACACTCTGTATTATAAACAAGACCGTGTTCACTTGGATAAGCCTCGCAGATTCCCAGAAGGTTTCTTAGCGCGCTGACAGAGGAACTCAGCAATACCATGTCGTCGGCCTAACTTAGGTTGTTGACACATTTTCCATTCACATGGCAACCGACCTGAGTGCTTCTGAGTCTCTCGAGCAGTTCATTTATATACAAGTTAAAATTTTATATGGCTGGCCCACTTTAACTTACGAATTCGTTGAACTATATTGGTAACTCCGATTGTACTGCGGATATCTTTACTTCCATATTCATTTACGCGGAGAAACTCTGAGTATAGCCCTCTTCATAGCTCATTAAGCCACCAAGAGCTTCCTCGGACGGCGAGTATTAAAGGACCACGTCTCAGATCCATGTGTTATCACTGATTGTTTTCATGTTTTGAGGTATACGTGACGATATGCGTCGTAATATATAATAAAGTCGGGTTGGATCCGCCGATCGACCTATTGATAAATTGGACTTATCTAGTAGGACAGTTTGTACTAGGTAAACATCATCGACAAAAATTTTTAATACTCCTAGTTATTACCAGCATAGTTTTGGGGGTATAGGTATAACTTCACATGTCTCACTCGGTATATTTAGTAATTTCCCATCTTCATATAATATTCTCAATAGTTATCCTCATTATATTTTTGTGTCGGGTACATGAATATATTATAAAAATAAATTGTTATAATGAAAATATATACTAACTTTACTGAATCCTCGGGTAATGCAAAGGCATTGCTATCCACATCCGTGGCTGCACCGCCCGGTCCTCGAACCACCGTGTCTGGGAATCTATATCCTTGATAATATCGCAAAGAGCTCCGCATATGGTGTTTAGTTTTGGTTGGGTCCGAGAAGGTCAATCCAGGAAGTTTTGGCAATCCCCACGCCATGATATATTCTGTGTTTTAGTAATATTTTATTTAATATATCAACAAATTATACAAGATTATCTATTAAATCATCGTTTGAGAGTTTAAGAAAGTAATATATCAAAACTGAATCAGAGAGAGAAGTTAAAGTAAAATATGCTTATACTTACAATAATCAATAATGAAATCAAAAAAGTATGACCGAAATAAACTATTTTCGAACACTATATTCACAAAACGAATAATTAATTTTTTTCTAAATCTATACAAAAATCGTTGTCATGTAAACAGGTGATGACAATAAACAAAACTGTTCCCAGGTAACAATAAATAAGGGCGATAGCGCACCGGCGCGGTTTTGACTTAAAATTGTACTCAACGTATTGAACGATAGTTACCATCATGCAATTATATAACTATATTTCACCAAGTCTGCTGGTGGTAACTGAACACGAGAAGCTAAGGATAAAGATGTATGACACACTACACATGATAGCTACATTAACTGCGGTAAACTACCGAAAACTCATAAAATGTTATCTTATTTTTATATAGAATAAGGGTGACAAACGAGCACACAATCCACCTGATGGTACGTGGATGCTGTGGTGTGTTAGCATTTACATCTATCCTCAATAAAGAATCAAAATGCAGAGTCACCCCCTGAGGACTAAGATTAAATGCCTCGTTTCCAGTAAAAACGATCTCCGGTTCTCTACACGCACCATAAGAAACACTGCAGCATTAAGCAGCTTTTTTAAGCTGGTATTCTATGAGAGTAAATTCCAACCTCAGTCGACCCGACAGAAACAGAAACTTTTTTATTCAATGTAGATTATAACAATACTTATTGAAAGTCACTTTTTTAATTTACCACGGGTTCGCAAAAAAAAAAACCTCTGTCCTGGGAAGAACCAGCAAGAAACCCAGCGGGACTATTTTTTTTCCAATAATAGCTTACAATCATGTTTACAATTAACAACACAAGACAAATTAGAAATAGCTTGGTAGCGATCACCCTTTCCAGGGGTTATTATCATCCATAAATTCCTTAATATTATAATAACCCTTTTTATACAAACTTAGTTTAATAACATTTTTGAACTTTGTGTATGACAAATTTTGTATAGTTTCTGGGATTTTGTTGTAAAAGCGTATACATCGCCCCAAGAATGAATTACTGACTCGGTGGAATCGAGTAACTGGTACTACTAGCTTGTGTCTGCTCCTAGTATTTACAGAATGAATATCACTTATTTTCGCAAAACTACTTTTATTTTTGTGTATGTACGTACATTACATTTTCATAAATGTATTGAGAGGCCAGAGTTAATATATTGATTTCCTTAAATTTTTGTCTCAGTGACTCTTTTGGTTTTAAATTATATATTGCTCTAATGGCCCTCTTCTGCAAAATAAATATAATTTCAGTGTCAATCGCGTGTCTTCATAGCAAAACACCACACGACATAATGCTATGGAAATAACTAAAGTAAACTTTTCTAGCTGTTTCAACACTGGTAAGAGTTCTAATCTTTTTTACAGCATATGCTACAGAACTAAGTCTGCTAGCTAGTTTTGATATATGGGGGAGCCATTGAAGCTTTGCCTCCAGTGTGATTCCAAGAAAAATGGTGGTATCAACAAGACTCAGTTCCTCCCCATTTAAAATTAGATTAGCATTGACATGTTTAACATTAGGAGTGACGAATTTCATATATTTAGTTTTAGTTCCATTCGAATGAAACCAATTGACTAACTTAGCTATAGCATTATAGCTACAACTACGACCCATTCGTGCTACAACCATTATATAGCTGAAGCTATGAATGACATAACTGCTACGTAATAAATAATAAATAATAAATAGAATAAAACGTTAAATGCAAATTATTAACATTAAACCAATTGACTAACTTAGCTATAGCATTATAGTTACAACTACGACCCATTCGTGCTACAACCATTATATAGCTGAAGCTATGAATGACATAACTGCTACGTAATAAATAATAAATAAAATAAAAAGCCTTTTATTTTTTACAAACAAATAAAAGAGTATGTAACAGTGAATTGCCTATCTTATTACTAAAACCTAATGTTTTTTATATAACCTATGATTATAACTATTTTTGTGTGTTTATTTATCAATGATTGTAGTAAACATTTTTTTTAAGATAATTTTGTTTGCAAGAAACCCTCCTCGGGTGAAGGCCTATCCTTTGGCTATTTGTCACCAATTTGGGTCCGCTATATTTGTGATCGCCTGTCTTGTTATCTCATGGGGTCTTCCTCTGTAGAGTTTTCCTGTTGGGCCGTTCCGTGAAGTAATTTTTTTGGTCCATCTTTTATTTTGTAATACCCCGGCCATTTTCATTTTAGTCTTTGAACGTGAATTAGAACGTTTTTAGCTTTTGAAATATTTTTTGGATATTTAGCATACTGCGTTCCATACCGCGTTGGCAGCTGATGATTTTGTTTTTTACTTTGCTAGAATATCTCCAGATCTGACTACTGCTACATACCCATTAAATATTATTTGCAGCTGTATTTGTCAAACTTCTAATCCTACAGTAGAAGAAATAACTCTCACATGTTTTATGCATTTTGGAAAAAAATTTAAAAAATTCCCAGGAAAAACTGTCCATGACAATAAACATTTTTCTCTGGGTCATGGCTCGAAAATACAACTTTCCGATCTGTTCCTTAGGGAAAATTGTTTAATTTATGGGTAGACTCACCTCTTCAGAGATTATTGGGATTTTGTACATTTTGTACTAAAATCCAATAAAAGGTTCAGCTTACAATAGCCCGGTAGCATGTTTTTATATAAATATATAATATTATTATTAGATTATTTTATTATAGACTCATATTAAAAATCAGTTAATTTTTGGTCACGCGTTATCGGACTGTCAGGTCGTATATACGCTAGGTACTTAGAGTAATATAATACATAGAGATAACCTATAATTCTATATAAATTGAGTCAATATACATGTCTCACTTTTTCTAATTTCATTTTCAAATAAGGCAAAAAGAGACAAATCTATTGAAAGATGTTGCGTGGCAATAGAAACGTGAAGTGTTCATCTTTGTTCTCTTCATACTATGCCAAATATGAGAGTAAGTACCTACGCTCGTATCTTCTAATATACTAGAAATATAACATCCATATTGTAGTAGTATTATGTGTGACGTTACTTTACAAATCACTAGTATAGATTAAAGACGTAGACAGAGAAACCTATAGACTAATCATCGGCGTGGCCTCGAGTGAGAAAGAACGATAACGAATTTTTAGGTTATAGAATAATCTTTATGACTTTTAAACACATTTAGATAAAAATTTTAACTGTTCTAAGAACTGAACTGAAGAAGATTCACCAATCTTAAGCTCACAAAACACTTTTTTCTCACTTAAACTAACTTGTAAACTCCTTAAATCGCCACGCTGTCAAAGCTAAACAAAAAAACCGGCACGGAGAAAGGGACAAACAATCACACCGCTCTATCTTATTTCTATGCAAGATGTATGCATAAATTTATCTTTTTCGTGTGCGAATGCAAAAGAAGGCGTCAATTTATCTACAGGTTTCTCTGTCTACGATTAAAGATGACGTCTTTAATCTACAGTGATTTCGTTATAGACTAAAGACGTTAATGTTAGAAACAATCGACATCCATACACTCGTTATTACATAGCAAATATTCGTTTCGCAAACTTGAAACACTAATAGTTAGATAGGTATTAAAACTATGTCTTGACAGACAAACGGTACATAAGCGAGCTGGATCTCAGTTTGTGTAATTCCAATTTTTATAGTGACTAACGATCCGCCCTGGTTTCACTCGACTGGTTTTTAGATCTTGACAATAGCGCCACTTACCGGTTCCAATTGTGAGTGCGAGTGTTCATCGACATCGGTCCAGCCGTCCAGGTTCTCAAGTTGATCTTTCGTACATGCGGCAATGAAATTTTATTTATATAAATTTACGGCGGAAATTAACAATCGAGTTTATTCAACAAAGCTTTATCTGCTTGGATGAAGATATTTCTAAATCGTGAAGTTAAGGCAGAATCTTAATAATGCTGTGTAACGGCGGTGAAAAGAATCCACTACATCCTACCAAATAGCATATATTATTACTTAGAAGCTTTAAGATCCCATACCATCCCGCGATTATCATAAAAGACGGCAGAGGGAAATGAAACAGGAGACAGGCAACAGTATCTTCCTCTTATCAACTCAAAATAATAAAAAAATTGCGATTCTAAATCGCTTACTAAGAGAGGGAACTATGGCAAATATTCCCCCTACGTTCAGCACTGAACTTTTGACAGGTTGAAATTAATGAATGAATTATGGATAATATCTTGAGGGAGCAGAGAAGGAAACGAGTAGTACTTTCCTAATCGATTTATTGGTAGTTGTGATCTAAAGACAAAAGAGATGGTAGACCACGGTCGTGCCACTGTTATTGTAATATCGTAGCAGTGCCCTCTATGTATGTTCCGTGAAGCAAGCCCAGTGTCGATTAAACAAACACATTTAGTATTCCCTGTAAAACCCTAATAAGTCTAAGGTTAATTTAGCGGAAACATACCGGCTGAATTTAAATAAATTTCATATTGACCTTTTCACTATTCATTTTAAATTATACAACAATCGTACACAATCCTGCATTATTCGACTACGTTTTTGTTGTAATACTTCAGATGAAGCTTCCATAAACTTTCACTCATATAAATAAGTATTACGAACCGGATTAACAAAAATCCTTAATTTTACTAAGTCATAGACTAAATGAATTTATCGACAACGTAATTTTGTTTCGCTAATGGCAAATCAATAGAGGTGTCTCTGGATAGGAAAAACAGCAACAACCTTGTAAAAGAAAGAAGGTAAAAATAATATAGCAATCTTATTTTGTACCACGTTAAACTTCATATGTATATATAGAGTTAGGCTTTAAGAATTTTGTTCTTTTTTAAAACTCTGTGCTAGTAATTACTCTGA